TTTTCCCCATCTGTGTGTGTTTAATCCTTTTCACTTTGTTCTGTTATCCAGGTCATAGTTATAGCTAATGGCTGGCCATATACCTTAACATCACATCAGCCACATTAAGTCTGTGTATGGGGAATCGTCCCGTCCACTATTGTATACCAACAGCCAGTGCCTGCCGCTGTCGGAATACTTGGGCACTGACTGCAGCTGATTGGCTACAGTCACTGTTCATCTCACAATTTTCCAACGATTGAAAAATCGCCACCCGCCGATCGAATTTTGGCTGTGTGATCTGTGTATGGCCAGCTTTAGTCCAATTCGATAAGATTTTGAGCTGATTGTGAATTTGGCCTGCTCACAAGGTACATGTGTTTTCCTTCAATCACAGAATCCATGTTTAATCGCGATTTCTATGCGTTTTTATTTTCTGTAGAACGTTAAAAGGATGAGAACGCCAGAGTTTGGATCAGTCCAGTGAGAATGTTATTTCTCAAGCCATGTGAAACAGCCTATGTGTTTTGGGGGTTCAAAATATGCTGGCAGTAAATGGGAATTAGAACTGGTCCGCCGTTGTAGAGTAATGTGAATAGCTCCAAGTGTTGCTCATCAGTCTGGTCATCTGACTTCTGGTGCTATTCACTTTGCTCTACAATGGCTGATGAAGGGGAAGTGTTGAGCCCCCAAAACGCATTGGATTACTGTTTTACATACATTGATGAATCCAGATCTTTCTGAATGTATTCAGCCTTTGTGGCACTCTCCTCCTTCTCCCTGCAGACTAGGCCAGGGATTCTTTGTCACACCTGACTGACAGAGGGATGCCTCTAATAAACTAGATTCGGTCTCCTGCTTTTTGTAGTCCAGAGCATTACATCCACCCTGGCGTCCAGCACTTCACCAACACATACCTTCTTTTTATTTCTCCAAAATGCATCATGAAATATGGGCACATAACTTGAAAAACACATTAGGCTAGGTGCACAACTAGGCATTTCCAGATTCGCACTGATTTTGCACGTTTTTTTGCCTTTTAAAATCGCACGTTTCTCCCTGCATTGAGATGTCTAAGGGACCAAAACTGCAGGCATCCGCCTGAAAATAGCTCCTGTATCTTTTTGCACTGCAGGCGTTTTTATAAGCGCAATGCGACGCTAGGGTGTGAACAGTTGGCATTGACTTGCATTGAAATGTGTGTTTCCGTGCGTAAAAACGCTCCGCTGTGAATCAGGCCTACATAGTGTAACGTAGGACTGGACAAATCCCAGGAGCTAATGCTTCTCAAAATTTAGGCCTCCAATTGTAAATGTTAAGGTTTCCTTTAGTTGTTGTCAATGGAGCGGACTCCTAAAACCAAAATCCTGCTGACTCCTGGATTGGACAGACTGGCTTCAGAATCCCATATCTATTTGTCCAGCCCTGGTGTAACGTGTGATTTTTACTGAAACATACCAAAAATGCAGCAAGCTTTTCAAAAACACAATTCACTGATGTGAAGAGCTTTCTAGATTATAATGTAACTCGTTTCCAGACACTTGTAATGGTGTTTTTTTAAATTTATTATACAGGATTTATATAGCGCCAACAGTTTGTGCAGCGCTTTACAATATAGGGAAGACATTACAATCACAATACAAATCAAGGTGAGATTGGAAAGAGGGCCCATTCTGCGTGCACATCAAACACGCTGGAGTGGTTGGGCCCTTACAATGAACAATTTCCACTTTGCTCTCATCAATGTTCTCATCAGTTCACAACAGAAAAGAACCAGAATAAGTACTTTTTGAAGTCTCGTTTAGAGCCCTGTGAGATCCTTATCCCTGCATTTAACGTTAATTGAACCTCATGTCTATCTGCACCCAGTATGACATGTTTAATGACGATAAAATAGAGAGTCGCCTGCAGTCTTTGCATTTTAAATGGTGATCATCAGTGAAAAGCACACTTTTTTTAGATCACTAGTTGATCTAATGAAGAGAAGGGTTCTGATCATGTACGTGGACAGTATTAACTACAGGGGCGGGTCCAAAGACTCCTAAAACCAGCCGAGTGTCCCAGGAAATCGGAGACCTGGAGGAACTATACACTTTTTTTGGTAAACTTTCTTCACAATAAATGGTTCTCGCATTAGGGCCCATTCACACCAGATGCTGCACTGCACTTTTTTTTGGTACAACTTTTGAAATGTCACAAGTGACTTTTCGTTCAGCTCTACGGGCACAAATGGGTGCGGAGTGGTTGTACTTCAAGTTCCACTGCGCTGAAAAAAAGTACAGCATGTCGTACTTCTTTTTTTTTCAGTGAACACCACTGTATTCCCATCACAATGCAGTGGTGTGAACCAATCCTGTCATTTGGGCTGTTGTGGAAATAATGGCTAATGCAGCCCCAACGCATTGGGTGTGCATCGGCCCTTAATGGTCCCGATGTTGGTTTTGGCCGTCTTTTTAAAGTGCACTCTATTTTTTGAATTTTTTTTTTTTACCCTCTTCTTGTCTTTGTACGTTGCCAGTATTTTCTTTGTTTTTATAGACTAAAACTAGCTATATACACTGAGGGAATGTTGCCTAATTCATCAATAATTTGCTTAGTGGGTGGCTTTGTCTGCTGGTTCTCACCCATTATCCTTTGATTAAAAGAAAATCAAAGGAGCCGGGTGGAAAATCGTTGGCCAAACAGATCTTGCATCCAATCGGATGCAGTCATTGTTCACGTGTTTTGACAGCTGGTGGGGCCATCTGTCAGAATACAATAGCTGCAGAAGGAGATTCTTCCATCCACGCTGTTCGTTGTGGGTGGAGAAATCTGTTAGATTTATTTTTTTTCCTGTTCAGCCCAAAAGCTGAACAGCGAAAAAAAAACAAGCAAATCTTAGTGTATACTCAGCTTTCGTGCCGCTTTCAGTTTTTACATTTTATTTTTGCAATAGTCGCAGTTCTATTTCACTAATTTGTAGATTGATCATGTGTTTATGCATCTGTATCTATTATCGCTCGCAACCTACTCTTGCCTGACAGTTGGATTTATTTATAGTTCTGTCTCTTTCAGTGCCCAAGGTAAACACATTACATAAGAAATATGTGTCATGTCAGACTGATTTTTACTTGTGTGTTTCTTATTCATTTTTCAGGCTAGCGCATTCTAGGTAAATGTCCTGTTCTAGATTCAGGTGCCTTGCGTAATCTGGAAATTCTTGTTCTAAATGTTCTGCTTTTTGATCTGCTTCTGGTAGTATCGGGCATACCGGAGTCAGTTAGAACTATGAATTGTTTTACATTGGTTGTCATGTAAACAATAGGGAAGCGGTGAATAAAGAATGTGACTAATGCTAAGACTGGTGAATGTTATTGTAGATTATAACTGTGTGTTTGCTTAGACTAGTCCTGGTTAGTACAGCAGCCAAAACAAACCGTGTTACAAATGCACAAACCAATGTTCAAAAAATAAAAGTGCAGTTCTTCTAAATTCAAGTATGACTATACTCTTGTCACACATGATTGGACATTATGTTGGAATTCCCGTGTATATTCTTTGTTCTCTAGATTGCTGAAGTTCGGGGATGGAAATTACATTGCTGGAATTCTAATTTGGAATATGCACCACTTTTTGTATAAAGGCGCTTTGGAAGCCTAGCTTGCTCCTAATTGCTTCATACTGCTTTTCAGTTATTGTGTTTCTATCCTTGAACGATATTTGATGCCACCTCTTATGTGGAGAAGTAGGAACAAGAGCGTGAGACAGCCACTGCCAGCACAATGCCTCTGATAAACATGCAGCAACTGAACGCATTGCTGTTTAGAGTTTTGTAACGCTTTAGTCGTGATCTGTAGATTTGTATGCGGCCCAAATGCTGTTTTGTTACATAACTTAAAATGAATATTAATAGATCTTATGCTGGTGATCTGGTAAATGTGCTAACCACATCTCTCTCTTCTTTCTCCCTGTTCAGCGTTATGCATTTGTGAGCCCATATTTATGCTTCTCTTGAGACGTGGCAGAACTCATTAATTTTTTCTTGTGCCTTTCCTGGAAACTTCTGGTTGTCATTGTGAACAGCTGTGGACTTATCTGACACGCACAAAACTGTCATAGCAGAACAACCATGGATCTCAAGACCGCAGTATTCAATGCTGCCCGTGATGGCAAGCTACGCCTTCTTTCCAAGTTGCTGGAAAACAAGGCCAAAGATGAAGTAATTTTGCTCATGTCGGAGAAAACCAATGGGGCAACACCTCTTTTAATGGCAGCCCGATATGGCCACCTGGACATGGTAGATTACTTGCTGGATCAGTGCAGTGCATCTGTGGAAATTGGGGGATCTGTCAATTTCGATGGGGAGACCATAGAAGGAGCACCGCCACTGTGGGCTGCATCTGCAGCTGGCCACCTTAAAGTGGTTCAGTCGCTACTGGATCATGGAGCTTCCGTGAACAACACAACCCTCACCAACTCTACGCCATTGCGGGCTGCCTGCTTTGATGGGCACTTGGAGATTGTGAAGTATTTGGTAGAGCACAAAGCTGACCTGGAGGTAGCCAATCGTCATGGCCACACTTGTTTGATGATCTCCTGCTACAAAGGTCACAAAGAGATAGCCCAGTTTCTGCTAGAAAAAGGAGCAGATGTTAATAGGAAAAGTGTGAAAGGTAATTTTACTTAGAGATGATTAATCAGCATCTACATTAATGGTTCAAGGAATGGGCACCCCCCTTCCCCTAATGTAGTTGTATAACTGTAATGAAACCTGGTATTATACTTTAATGCTTTTACTGTTTGTGTGAATTAAGGTAACCATATATGAAGGGATCTGATTGTTTCCAAACCTTCAGAACATCTTAGTCATATTTTCTGTTTAGCTTCTTTTTAGTTCTCTTGGAGCTCAGTTGTCTTTCTACTTGTCAATTAGCAGAGAATATTAGTAAATGCTGGCTGTTTAAAACCTCAATTCTGATCTTTAAAGGTCTTCTCTTGTGATATCTAAAAGGATACCAATACAAGTTGCAGTAAATATATCTATCGATATGTCTATCGATAGATATATCTATCATGTTAGAAAAAAAGGTTTACAGTAACGCAAGATAGTTGTGAAATGTGCTGCCCCCTTGGTGTGGATGGACTCATTATTTGAGTATCTGTGGGCATCCTAACCCATAGAATGAGAGTTTTTTTGATGTAATTGTTTACAATTTCTTTGAGTATATATTGGTAGCTTATTGGAAACCTCTGGGTTTATCATCTTCCTGTCATCAATACCTTATGAATTGACTCAACTTGGATAAGAATGCATGTATGGAGTGATTGCACTGGCTCTACGTGGTACTTTTTCCAGATCAGTGATTTAACCTAAACCTCTCATGAGAGACCTACATGGGCTCCCTTTTGATTATCTCCTCCTAAAAATATTACTATTCGAGATACCCCCCTGATCCTCTGTTCAGTCCTAAGTGAGTCATTGTCCCAAAAAATACACAGATCAGGAGCACTGCCTTCATTTGTTGAAGGCAAAGACAGCCAGACAATTTGCATTTACAGCAAGAGGGTAGCAATTAGCAGCCCCTGACTGATTTGGTGTTTTTTTTTTTTTTTACCAGTTTACTTTTAGGTTGTGAATAACAATTGAAAGACCTGGAGCCACTGCATGAATTAACTGCTCGTTTTTCTCTGGGGGACCGAATAAAGAAGAAATTCTCACCCGATACTCGATCCTGCTTGGCTGCTAGACCGGCCCTGTAGCCTCTTCTCCCCTGCGCACCAGCAGTCTAAGGACCTATCTAATCATGTCTAATACTGTGTATTAGACGTAAGGGAGCTAAGGGACGTGCTGGAGCATAGAGGAAGGTGAGCAGTCACTGCCGCAGGATTGAGGATCGGGTATTTCTTCTTTATTCAGTCTCCAAGAGGAGAACAAACCGTTAATTCTTGCAGTGCGGTTTTAGCCTCAGTGCAAGGGTTAGCGTTTAAAAATCCTGGACTTCCTCTTTAAAAGAATCTAAAAGGTTATAGGATTGACTGCTCAGACACTTCCAGGGAAAATAAAGATCCCTGAAGGCTGTAGCCACTTAATTCAGGTTAGTATTCATCTTGGGTAGGGAGTAGGTATCTGAAAGTACAGTTATCTTTTAGGTTCCCTTCACACCTTTCATTTCTGGTGCAGTCTTCTCCTAAATTGATATTTTGTATTCTGTAAAGTGTATCTAAAGCCAAAACCTTTATTTTGGACAGGGAAGAGTAAACAGCTGTCAGTCTTTTTTCCATCTCTGTCTGAATGGAAATATTTCTCTTTACTTCATGGCTTGTGGACACAACAGGAAGTGAGAGTAAATCTTTCCAAGACGATGAGAAATTACCTCTTAGACCAGGGCAGGACAAAACCCAGGATCCAAATGGGAAGCAGCGGTCCACATGTTATCGTATCCTATACGATGACATGCAGACTGCCGCTTACAGAGGCAACCTGTCACCCACATATTTACTTGAACGGACATGGCAGTGGCATCCGAAGGTTCCTGCTGCCGGATTCCCAGCTCACCCTGTCTGAGTGCCTTTTATAGGTGTATGGGTTGCAGCTGCAAAACCTAACCAAACCTCCATGCTTCACATTAGGTACAGGGGTCTTTTCTTTGAAAGCTTTATCTTTTTCATCTGTGAACATAGAGCTGTTGTGACTTGACAGAAAGCTCTAGTTTTGTCTCGTGACATTCTCCCAGGGTTTGTGGGTATGGGCTCACAATTCCTATTGCCGAACCTTTACTAAATGCAAGGAAGCAGGATCGGCACTAGATTTATGATTACATTGCTATTTTGCTTGATTCTTGTTCTATATGTACAGTTATTGTACATTTTCTCCACCCTATTTGCTTGGTACCCAGGCTTCTTCATGAAGCAAATTCCATGTAATCTACTCGCAGACACAAATTCCCATTTGGTTTATTTAATAGGTTGGATGAAATTCTGGAATGAGACCTTCAAAAATAACAGGTGCATTTTATGTGTTTGCAGTCGTTATTCTTCTGGGTTTTGCCAAAAAACATAGCCTCAGTATTGCTTACAATACCAACATTGATGGTAATTTTTTTTAGCTGCCTTTTGCTTTGTAATATAAACTAGCAATATGACTGGTTTGTTTTAGCAAGATGTCAAATTATAAGTTGTAGTAAGCTTGTACTAGAAATAGCTCCATTACCATATTGATGCAAATTGGTTTCAGTACGTCTTGCTTAATGGGAACTAATGCAAGTTTTTCTTTACTTTGTATTCATTGACATGCTTTTTGGAGAGGTTTGTCTTTTTTGGCAATGACCTTTTGATTTGAAATGTTAGTAATCGCACATGGCAATACACCAACCCTCACAACCCTAAATCAACTCTGACATATGTGCTGTACTGAAGCTTCTAGGTTAAAGTTGATGTAGCAACATCGTGCTAATTATACCTCAGTGCCAATTGCTTCTATTTTTAATGATTTGTGTTCTCTATTTATCGTTGGGTTGCAATGAACATGGATCGGTATTATGTTGGCATTGCCAAATAATAATCTGTTTAAAGATTTAAAAGAAAAACAAACAAAACATTTTACTTGCAATAAATAAAGAAAACAAACTGCTTACTTTAATATGCTGCCATTTAGCTTCAATATTGGGGTTTCAAAGCATATCTAAACTCGGAAACAAATATTTATTATTTTGCAGTTTATCAGTTTTTGTTTGTTTCAGTTTTTTTTTTGGTTCTTAGATGTGGTGTCTGTTTTTTGGGGGGGTTTTGTTTTGTTTTTTTCTTCCCTTTCAGGCTTTTTACCCCTTTTATCTGGCAAACATGAAGATTTAGTTGGATAATCTCCAGACTACAAACACCTCTTCCCCCATCTCTCTTAAGGTGCCCATACACTGTGCGATTATCGTACGATAATCGCAAAGTGCATGGAAGGCGTGCGACCGTTTTTACTGTACGGTCGCACGTCTTTTGTCTAAGGAGCATGCTAGAAAACCAGCCGAGAATCGTACGATTTTCGGCTGGTTTTTAGCATGATCGTAAGATCAGTGCCACACGGGCCGAGATGGGCAGATCGTACGTGGTTTTTAAAAAAATTACTTTACAACCATCGCAAGACTAAGGTCGTGCAATGGTTGTAAAGTGTATGGCCACCTTTACATAGGGAGGAAGGGTTTTGCAGTTTGGAGAGAGTGCTGAGAAAGCGAATACCTTGTTTGAGCTATCTGTGTACAGGAAGCTACAAAGACGCATATTTGTCTGTACTCGCAGAAAATGTACTTGGCCTAAATTTCAGCAGATTCCCACTGATTTGTTACCACTAGTGGACAAAAGTTGAATTTTTCCACCCAACTCAGCTATTTTTATCGGCTGAACAGTGACTACATCCTATTAGATGTAGGATGTTGGGGTATTTGGGCAGTTGTTGGTGCCAGCGGTCTAAATACAATAGCTGGCAATGCAGGAGGAAACGCAGTTCATTCCTCCATCCACACTAAACAGTGTAGATAGAGGAATTACTTGGGTTTTTTTTCTCCTGTTTAGCCCATGTGAGAAATCTATGTGTATATGGCTGGCCTCAATCTGAAAACAGAAAACCAAGGCTGCTAGCTTGTCATGACAATTAAAAGCCTAATTTAAAAAAGGGAACTATCCAAACTCTTGTTAAATCCCCCTCCCACATGCATGCTTTAAACAAGTAAAAAGCCCCAAAAAGGGTTTGAGGATGTGGATAGTCCTACCATTTAAGGTCAATAGATCTGGGGATCTCGATGCAGAGCTGACAAGGTTCTGAAAAGCGGCTGCGTGGCACTGGTTGGAAAAGATTTCCAGGTAGCCATGTTTTATAGCATTACAGGAACCTGCTGTGAACATGCACATTGTGTTACCATCAATGTAGGGCTGCAGCTAACCATTATTCTTAAAGTGATTAGTTAGCTGATTATTAATTTTTATCGGATTTCTTTTTTAAAAGGCTCCAGTGATGGATTACTAGTTTGTATTGAGATTGTAGTCTATCACAGGAGCAAGCCTGGAGCGGTGGAAGTAAAAAAAAAAAGTGTGGTTTGCAATATAGTACATTTTACAGCCACGCAATGCATAATACCAGCAGCTTTAGAGGAATACAACAAATCACACATATATACACACACACACCCACACACACACACACACACTAAAATATTCATTCGGTCGGTGGTATTCTGCATTGTGCCGCTGTATAATGTATTGCTGGGATTTGTTGTAGTCCTCTATAGCTGGTGGTATTCTCCATTGCGCTGTAGAACGTAATATTGCTGAGATTTGTAGTCATCTATAGCTGGTGGTATTCCGCATTGTTCCGCTGTATAATGTATTATTGCTGGGATTTGTTGTTCCTTTTATAACTGGTCAGTAGTATTCTGCATTGCGCCGTATAATCATTATACATCGCAATGCAGAATACCACCAGCTATAGATGACTACAAATCTCAGCAATATTACGTTCTACAGCGCAATGGAGAATAACACCAGCTATAGAGTAATACATCAGATCCCAGCAATAGTACATTTTATACAGCGCAATGCAGAATACCAGCAGCTGCAGAGGACTACAAATCCCAGCAATAGTACATTATAGTATAATGTACTATTGCTGGCATTTGTTGTATTCCTATAT